GAAATGTGGCGTGCTGCTGTACGCCGCGGCGGCATGGTGATTCGGCCTGATGTACTGAACATCTGCACTTAAAGTCGGCGCGCAGCCATTGATCGCCAGAGCGAAGAGTTTTTTTTAGTTTTCCTCACCCATTACCTTTGGGTTAATACTATTGCTATCGATACTGTTATTAATGTTATTTATGTTATGATTATTAACCCAATGGTGCCGGGGAAAATGAACAAAAAATGGGGAAAATATTGTGCCCACTTTCTATGTTTTTTGTGAAATGTCTGCCGATAGATGGCTCTGCTAGCGCCTGATTTAAATGGTGGGAAAAACATATTTTTCACTAGTGCTATGAAAATCAATGGTGTTATTTTTATCATAAACATTATAATTTATATAATTTTTTTTAACATTAGTAACAGCAAAATAAGATTACGTAAAATATTTTGTAAATCAAAGAAACGGGTAAACGGGCGAGACGGGCGGTGCTCGTAACTGGCTCATTAGGGAGTTAGTACAAGTGTTGCCATCTATGCGTAAAAACAATCAAACAAGTACTCACTGTGGGCATAGCACGTACATACACGTCATACCCGGCACCAAGGGGTTAAATTGTCACTAAAATATTTTAGACAATCAAATGATACAAAAGACCCTTTCCTAAAGTGAAGGAAAAGGGTAAACAAGTGAGATATATAGTTCTGATAACTGGCTATTTGGTGATTAACCCAATGGCGCCGGGTGTACAAAAGAAAAAAAAAACTCTACGCTTAAACAAACAAAGGCGGTGAGTAGGGGATATCAGCCCGAATCACTGGCTCGCCGCGCTTTGGCGCGCCGCCAGCTCGTTCGGCAGCATGCCAGCTTTCGAGCTCTTTGTGTACACGCCGATCGGCGTCACCCGGCACCAAGGGGTTAAGAACTTACAGAGCCATCTATGTGTAAATACAATAAATAAGCATGTATTACAATTGGCATGTATTCTTGCCACATGGGGTGAATGGGTTAAGAAGGCAAGAAATTCAAGGCAATGCATAGACACCTATAATAGAAAAAAAATATGGAGTGTATATTAGCTGGGTATCTTCTAACTATGTACCATGAATGAATTTCATGTAATTTTTTGTAAATTCATTAAAAAGATATAACCCAGTTTTGTAAACAATCACAAATATAACAGAACAAACTTTATCAATGCTTTATCAGTTTGTAATTTTATCATATTTGATTCAATGGGGAAATATCCTAAATATCTTGCTGGTGGAAATTTCTGGTTTTGAAAGACATATAAAGTAACTTTTCAAAACCACTTTTGCTATATATAAAAGTGTTTCCCATTACATTCTTTGAATGACAGATCACATGAACACATTGGATCCAGATGCTTCACTGCCATCATGTGGCCCAAAATACAGGCATTAGGCTTACTTGAGTGGCCACACTGTTTTTCTTGCACAGATTCTATACAGTGGCGTAGCCAGAGCGGGAAGATTGGGGGGGGCAAACAGGTAAGAAAAATAGCAGGGGGTCCGGGAATCTTCCCCCGGGAAAATTTAAGACCACGCCCCTTAGAATGCTGGAAAACGGCTCTTTTTAGATGGCTTATAATGAGCTATGCCATTTGTGCAATAAAATTTGTAAGGAGGCCCCCTACAAATTTGCAGATTTGCACTTTTCTCAGAGACCAACTTTCTGAGCATTGGGGGGGCGGCTGCCCCCCCTTGCCCCACCCTCGCTACGCTACTGATTCTATATCATCTCTCTAGGTAGTTCATAACTCACTACAATAATAATAACAAAAAGATATACTTTGTTATCTGTATAATCTTTTACCTTTCTGGAAATATTCAATTTTCTGTTATACAACCTGCACCACCAGTCATGATGGTACAGGTAGAGGATCCTGAGCATAGAATGGCATCCTCCCTGGAGCTGATGCTCTTCCAGTCATGGCTCACAGATTGTACAATCCACACTCTTTTCTCTATGGATATAATTCAAAGACCCATTCCTAGAGGCCAAATAACTCTAATGAACCTCCAGTAGCTTTGTGATGGCATATTCACATCTCCCCTCCCTCAAGACAATTTGTTTTTTTTCATGATGTGATGGTCACGTTATTTGGATTGTAGAGGTTAGTATATTACTAATTCTATTTACTTATAATATATATGTCATTCCTTGCCTTACATACAGATTCATTACCAGAATCAATGTTGGATATATGTTGGGGTAAGATCTATTGCATAATTTTTTTTCCTTTTTTTCAAATCTGAAAATCCTAAAGCACGTCTTTCTTCTTCAGTGTGCTTAAACGTACTTCAGAACTGTATAATCATTAGCAATCTCTTACTGTTTTCAAGGTGATCAAAGAAAGGAGATTACCTGTTAAACACAGCTGGGTCTGCTTTTGGCAGATCTTCCTTCTCGTCACCTGGGTCCAGCTGGTTCAACGGAGACTGTGAATTTTCTTTCGACACATGATGCGAGTTGAAGTGAACGGTCTCTTGCT